GAGTCAGAAAGTGAGCAGCAGGAGAAAATAAGTCAGGAGGGACAAAAAAGACTAAAAATTGCTGAAAATCTTAGGAAAAAGAAAATTTAAACACTTTGAGAATAAACAGATAAACCAACAGGGAAGACATTAACAGAAGAAGTAAATATGACCTTCAGATCTAGTAAACAGGTTCAGGTTTCTATGAATAAATATTACAAGACAGAGAAAATGATTCAATGCCTGATGAAGCAGGAGGACCTGTGTATTTTAAAGAAAGCATGGAACCACAACACCCTGTTCCTGAGTGGTTTTAAAGAGAAATGAGGGTTATAAGGACAGAATTTATGGCCTGTACAGCAGAGATAATTGGCAGAATAGAAAAACTTAAATCTTTGATGGCAAGTCTTGCCAGAGAAACAAGAGAGGACTCCTGATTGAGAATGCAAGAAGTGTATAGACGTGAAGGACAAACTGGAAGAGGAGAAGCATAAAGCAATAACATTAAAAGAAAACATACTCTTTATACAAGTAAAACATATTGACAGGATATATGGAAGCAATCTAAGGATTATAGATTTCCCAAAAGAATACAAGTCAAAAAACCTGAACACTGTAATGCAGGAAATAATAATAGAAGAAAACTGCCCAGAACTTCTGAACAGAAAAGGAAGTGCTTATTGAAAAATGTATAGATGACTTCCAGAAAAGAACAAAACAAAACAAAACTCAAGGCTGCAATTCTAAGACACATTGTGATTAAATTTAACAATTCAATTCAGAAACCACCAATTCTGCCAACTACCAGGAGCAAGATTTTTAAATACAAAGGAAAGGAAATTTTAATAACAGAAGAGAATTATTCTGTACCCAACAGAAAATGCTGGGGGGAATGAAATAATGTGTTCTGAAGAGCAGTGAAACTCAAGATGTGTCCCAAAGTGACCTACCTTGCAAATGTGAGCATAACTATAAATGAAAAAAAGATAGATGTTCAATAATGGAGGTGTTTAAAACATTCTTAAGAAAAAAGAAAAACAGATCTGAAGAGATTATTTGCTTCTTGAACACAACAGAAATGTAGAAGAGGTGAACGAATGATGTAGCCAAAGACAGCAACAGCATCAAACTGACAGCAGAGAGATCAGTAAGAGACTTCTTTCTAAATATACAAAAGGAGAACAGAGGTGAAGATGGAAGTTAGCTGGAGGTAGTGGTGGAGAGGTGGGCCTGGGACTGATCATGGAGGCACCCCCACCTACAGGTGAATCTTTTTTTTTGTTTTGTTTTGTTTTGTTTTTTTGTGTGTGACAAAATTACAAAATGAAAAGATTACTTGAAAGGGGAGAGGGGAGGAGGAATATATGATATGCCCAGGTCAAACTTTGGGCTAGCAATGCTGGGGAGGTGACTCCTATGGTCTCTCAGGAGGAGGAGAGACAGCAGCAGAGTGGGTCAGAAGAGTGGGTGAAAAGGGATGAAAAAAATTGGGAGGCTTTGATTTGGTGATGGGAGGGGGCTCCACTCATGAATGCTTTGGTGGATGAAGAGGGATGTTCTGTGAAGGGACATGAGGATCTTGTGCTAAGGTCTGTGGGAATTTGGTCTTTGAAGAAACCACTACTTCTGCCTCTGGAGAGTGGGAAGAGCTTCTGGAGGCCATTGGAACCCAGAGAAGTTGGAGGTTGTGGACTCAGGGAGGAGTTCTTTGAGATAAATGGGGAAGTAAAGTGACCAGAGGGAGATTACACCTCAGAGGTGGGCTTGCATTGTAAGGGATGGGGATGAGGCGGGAGCATCCTGCCATACAGCAGTGCTGTCTTTGTCACCTGCTGGAATTAATATTTTCTGAGAGTAGTTGTATAAGACTGTTCTTCATGATTTCCTGAAAGGCAGATAAATGGTTATTTTAGTGTGTCAATTGAAGGAAGTGACACTGTAGATAGTATGAGGTGAGGCAAGTGCATCTGAATCCCTTTTTATTTTTTCACATTCCAACTACTGAAAACTCTTTGTTGTTTGAATTTTAAATGTTAGTATTAAGTTATTCTCTACTCTTTCTTTCAAGAAGTATGTTAATGTATTCAAATAGTTAATATAACAGCCATAAGTGTCTGGAACAAATATGTTTCTGCAAGTCATTAAAGACATTTAAAAAGAAATTTTTGTGTTTGGCTAAATTTAGTTGTGTGTTACCCTCAACCTGGTTTAGCCATACCTAGACAGTTTTACTGGGGTGTGGCCACTGCACATGGTACAGCTTCTTGGAGCCACAGGTGAGAATTGGGTGAAAGGTGGACACCAAAGGTGGTTATGAGAAGCCTGGAAAAGGGCTCAGCGAGCCCTCACCAGACGTGCTAGTGTTCCCTGGAAACCCTATGTAACCAACAGTACTCAGACCTGGTGGTGAGTTAGGGCAGTATCTACCCCAAGCATGTAAAGATTTCCCCCGCAGAAGGGTGGATGAGAACAGTTTGTTCCAGTGGTCATGAAGGCAGAAGCAGGTGCTGTGAAGTGCTTAGATCTTGGTCAGACATCAAATGCCAAGGTCATCCGCTGCATCCCAGGCCATCACCAGTTGTCTCGACTTTTGTCTTGCCACTGGACTTTGATGATTCTGGAAGGAAGAGTGAGGCTGATGACTGTGTGCAACTCTGCCTTGCTTATATAATTCACACACAAGTCAAGACATCGCCCAGTGATGTCATTGGTTCTCTTCAAAATGAAGGATGTACAACAAACAGCTTGTGTATGTATAGTTCAAAGATTATTTGCAGTGGCATCAAATGGAAGATATATTTAAGAGGTAATATACTTTGAAAAATACGTAATAGCCAAAGTGAAATGAACAGAAGTAACTATGTAAGCAACATTCTTCATATTATTGTATTATAAGGGCAACAAGGAGAAAATTTGGTCATTCAGTCAACCAACAGAAGAGAGAGACAGAGAGAGTGTGTGTGTGTGTGTGTGTGTGTGTGTGTGTGTGTGTGTGTGTGTG